TATCCTCTGTCAACATAATCTCCCATAAACAAGTAATTCGTATCTGGTGATTTGCCACCAATTCTAAACAGTTCCATGAGATCATGAAATTGCCCGTGCACGTCTCCACAGACAGTGACCGGACAGCGAACCTCCTGCACGTTGGATTCTTTTGTCAGGATTTCTTTAGCCTATAGATGGAGAAAAAACAAAGCAATATTTTATTAAACATTAACAAAGACATGTTTACTTACACTTCACGTAGCTTAAGGGGCAGATTCAGTATATGAAATTGTTTTATGATCCCATTAAAATAAGGAAGATATGGCCAGAGTCTACCCATTAGCTATCTCACCCCTGGTACCTAGAAAAAAAAATGTGTGTCAAGATGCATATCCCTATTCCCATCTTCAACACCAGGAGTTTTTAAACCTATCAATTGCCATCTAACTAAATAGTAAAGAGATCATTATTGGCAGCTATACAAGATCGATGAAAATGGAGCAGGACATTCAGGTATCTCCTTCCTTAGCTTTAGGGTTCTGACGGTAATGCCAGCACTCCAGGATTACAGGCTATGTGAGGTTTTTAAGTCCTGTTTGACTTTTCAAAAACATTTTTTGAAGGACATTCACATTTTGCCTGTATTTTGATGTATTTCTTTATATTCTTTATACCAAAATACAAACTTTTTGCATTACAATTGGACTATTCAATATACATGCTTTTAGAAAATTACTTGGCAGCATACGCATTCTCCCATATAATCACAAATTCAAAATACACACATACAAATACCTAGGACCCCACCTCTGTCCTCGTGGAGCTTACAACCTAGAAGTGTTTAAAATCAACTTTCCCACACATGGTGTAACCAAATGCACAATTTGAGGTGTCAAATGTTACTTTTAAGGGCAAAGTAATATTTCATTCAGTAGAAACCCTATTATTCATTCATTCGATGAACATTTATTATTTATTACATGCTAAAAACCATAAAGTACACTGGGAGCAAATCATGTGCTCGACCATCTGACTGACTACTATGTGCCAGCCTAGTGCTAACAACTAGAGATACGGTGGTGAACGGTCAGGCCATTCTCACTGCAATGTGGGGGAGACCACAAACAAGTAACCAAGTAAAAAAAAAAGCACAGGCTGTGTTAAGTGCCATGAAGGAAAGGCAGAGGGCAACTGAGGGAGACCACTTTACTTTGTTTGTCCGTTTATTTGTTTAGAGACAGGGTCTTGTGCAGGGAATGCAATGGCAAGATCACAACTCACTGCAGCCTCTGACTCCTGGACTCAAACGACTGGGAGACCACTTTAAATAAGATATCAAAACAAATTACCATAGAGAATTGTTGCTAATGAGCCGTAATAACCACGGACGACAAGGACTGGGTATAGGGCAGTGGTATACAATCTTAAGTGCACACTAAAAATCCCAATGCCCAGGTTCTCCTCCCCGAATTAACTCAGAATCTTTGGGAGCAGAATCCAAGCATCAACAGTTTTTTAAGTCTCCCCTTCCCTCCATCAGTGTTTCCCTAGGTGCAACGAAGGTTAAGAACCATTATTTTCGAACACTTGGGGGAGTCTATTTCAGGATACTCACCAACCAAACACCCAAAAAATACACCCCAAAATAGTTATTAATTTGATCTAATATTTCACTGAGTTTAGAATCTCTACTGTACCTCAAAAAGAGGTATTTCCTAAAGGAAATATGTATAACCAATATTATCAAATTCTACTTTCGAAATTTTTCTCTCCAGAGTAATTCCAACTTCCCCCGATTATTCTTAAGAAGCAAAAGTTCACCAGGCATATTCCATTACTAAGTCTGTATGGCATTAACACCATATCTAGTGTTTTTAGCACCCAGTACGTACTAATGAAAATAGCTGAGAATAAAATAAGAAGTCCTAAACTTCGAAGAAATTTGCAAAAGGTATTCAGAAGTTTTTAAAGGACATGACATAAAACAGATGATCTCATACACCATGTAAATCTTGCTGTGATGTAATTTTCACAATTCTATCAGAAGTTAAATTTCAACATATATCTCTCAACACTTGCTGATCTACAAGGCTATTCTCTATATGAATGACAAAATGTTGCCTTCAGGTAAGGACTGCCTGAAGTTCCTTATTACAACCTACTTAAAATTTCTATTTAAATCACTAAAGGAAAATTAAGCTTAAATGCTATTTCTTCCTTTTATTTAGGCAAATCACAATGTCAAATACTGTATCTATTTTTAAAGTCATACAAGTTACATAGTGACACATTCTTGTATGAAGTTTTGTCACACATATAACTCAAAGTGCCCCCTTTGACCTTTCTCCACAATCCCACTCCCCTAGGGCAAAATAACCACCAATAGCCATTTTCATGTACAGATGCTCCTTAGGATGAGGATAGACCCATCACAACTATCCTAAGCTGAAAATGTGTCTTTGACTCCTGGTATTTTGAACTCATAATGCTTATGTTGTAAATCCTAGGAGTACCTAATGGAGTATCTTTACAGGTCACCTAACGGAACCTCTACTGGGTCACCTCTAGAGACTCTGGGCCTTCATCAACCATCACTTTCAAAGATGGATAAAAGTAAATGGCAAAACCACATTTTCAAAATAATTTAACATTTTTAATTTTTAAATAACCATCTTTTCACTCTCTGACATTTTGACTTCTGTAATTTAAAGCCTTGTGTCACCTGAATTATGCACTGAAGCAAAAGTTAAAGCGAAACATACATACCAAACCTTTTCTGTTTCCCCTAAAACTTTTTTCCAGGCCTTCAAATTTCCCAGCTAACATAATCAATATTTGGGGGGGGAGCGGGAGGAATCAAGAAAAGTTTCAAAAATAATGTAATTAGCACCATGTTGATTCTAACATATCAGAACCCCTCTGAAATTCAGTCAAATGGTATAGACTGGAATGAATGAATTCAAGCAAAAAAGATTCAATATAAACTTCCTAGAACAAGGTTAAAATTGGAAATAGGCTATTCTATTAATAAGACCTTATCACAGCCAAGCATGGTGGCTCATGCCTGTAATCACAGCACTTTGTGAGACTGAAGGAGGATTGCTTGAGGCCAAGAGTTCAAGACCAGCCTGAACAACATAGCAAGACCCCATCCCTACAAAAAAATAGAAAACTTAGCTAGGCGTGGTGGTATGCACCTGTAGTTCTAGGTACCTGGGAGCCTGAGGGCAAGAGAATTGCTTGAGCTCAAGAGTTGGAGGTTGCAGTGAGCTATAATCACAGCACCGCACTCCAGCCTGGGCCACAGAGTGAGATTCTATCTCAAAACAGCAGTGACTACAACAACGAAAACCTTATCACTAGTGAATGTGTGAAGCTAACATTTTATACTGTCTTAGAATCCAAACACTTTGGACATTTATTTCGACTTAAAGCAATCTTTGGGGACACTATCTTATTACACCAATGTTCTCTCAGCACTTGGGGTTTGGATTCAGCAACCTCACCTCTTTATTTTCAACCAACTATAAAACAATCACCTGTAAGTCAAATGACCTATGGACTTGTTTGACATTCTTGAATATGGGCCATGATAACCACACGGTAACATGAAATTACAAACAAGCAGGCTTAAACTAGACTTCACAAATCATCCACGCCAAGATTCTTCAAGGAAGATAATTAAAAGAGAAAAATACATGAACCAACAACAGATTCACCAACCACTTATTTATAATTTCCTTAAGGGCACACAGTAACTACAAGCATACCTGATTTTATTGAGTTTTGCTTTACTGCACTTCACAGATACTGTGTTTTCTTTTCTTTTTTTTTTAAACAAACTGAAGACTGTGGCAACCCTGCATCAAGCAAGTCTACTGGCACCATTTTCCCAACAACATGTGCTCACTTCGTATCTGTGTCACATATTGGTCATTCTCTCAATATTCAAACTGTCGTCATTATTATATATTTGTTACGGTGATCTGCGATCAATGACCCTTGATGTCACTATTGCAATTGCTTTGGGGTGCCACAAAATGTGTACATGTAAAGAAGGCAAATTTAATCGATAAATGTCTGTCTTCTGACTAATCCACTGGCCATTCCCCATCTCTCTCACTCTCCTTGGGCTCCCTGTTCCCTGAGACACAACATATGGAAATTACACCAATTAATAACCCTACAATGGCCTCTAAGTATTCAAGTAAAAGGAGTGGCACATCTTTCCCTTTAAAACGTAAGCTAAAAACGATTAAGCTTAGTCAGGAAGGTATGCTGAAGGCTGAGATTAAGTCTTTCAAAAGCTAGGCCTCTTGCACCAAAGCCGAGTTGTGAATGCAAAGGAAGAGTTCTTGAAGGAAATTAAAAGTGCAACTCCAGGGAACACATGAATGATAAGAAAGCCAAACAGCCTTACTGCTTATACGGAAAAGGTTTTGGTGGTCTGGATAGAAGACTAAACCAGCCACAACATTCCCTTAAACCAAAGCCTAATCCAGAGCAAGGCCCTATTCTCTTCAATTCCATGAAGGCTGAGAGATATGAGGAAGAAAAGTTGAAAGCTGGCAGAGGTTGGTTCATGAGATTTAAGGAAAAAAGCCATCTCCATAACAGAAAAATACACGGCGAAGCAGCAAGTTCTGACAGAGAAGTTGCAGCAAGTTACTCAGAAGATCTAGCTAAGATAACTGATGAAGGTGGCTACACTCAACCACAGATTTTCAATGCAGAAAAATGGCCTTAAACTGGAAGAAGATGCCACCTAGGACATTCCTAACTTGAGAAGTCAATAACCGGCTTTGAAGCTTCAAAGGATGGGCTGACTCTCTTGTTAGGGGCTAATGCAGCTGTGACTTTATTCTGAAAATCCTAGGACCATTCTGAAAATCCTAGGACCCTTAAGAATTATACCAAATCTGCTCTGCCTGTGCTCTAGAAATGGAACAACAAAACCTGGATGACAGCATATCTGTTTACAGTATGGTTTTCTTGTAAGCCCACTGTTGAAACCTAGAAAAGATCCCTTTCAAAATATTACTGCTCATGGACAATGTACCTGACCACCCAAGAGCTCTGATGGAGATATACATGGAGATTAACGTTGCTTTGACTTTCAAGTCTTATGACTTAAATACACTTCATAAGGCTAATAGGCGCCATGAATAGTGATTCCTCTACTAGATCT